TCTGGTCTGTTCATTGTTCTATGTCTCCATTTTTGTGCCAGTACCATGCTGTTTTGGTTACTACAGTAGTTACTTGTAGTGTATATAGCTGAAAGTCTGGCAGAGTGACACCTCCAGATTTGTTCCTTTTGCTTAAGGTGCTTTGGCTGTTCAGGCTCTTTTCTGGTTCCAAATGAAGCATAGAAATATTTTTTCTAGATCTGAAAAAAATGATGTTGGTATTTTGATGGAGATTACATTGAATGTGTAAATCATTTTGTACGGACATTTTAGCAATGTTGATTCTGCTGACCTATGAGCATGTGTCCTTCCATTTGTTTACATCCTCTGTGATTTCCTTCTTCAGTGATTCGTAATTCCCCTTTTAGAGGTCTTTCACCTCCTTGGTTAAATGTATTCCTACATATTTTATTTTCTTTGTTGCTATTGTGAAAGGTATTGTCTTTGATTTGATTCTCAGCTTAATTGTTGCTGGTGTATAGAAATGCTACTGATTTGTATACATTGGTTTTGTAACCTGAGACTTTGCTGAACTTATCACTTCAAGGAGTCTCTTGGCAGTCTTTCAGGTGTTCTAGACATAAGATCACATCATCAGCAAAGAATGATAGTTTGACCTCTTCTTTCCTCTATCCTATTTGGATACCCTTGATTTCCTTCTCTTGCCTGCTTCATCTGACAAGGACTTCTGGCACTATGCTGATTAAAAGCAGTGGCAATGGGCAATCTTGTCTAGTTCCAATTCTAAGTGAGAATGCTTTCAGTTCTTCCCCATTCAGTATGATGTTGGCTGTGGGTTTGTCATATATGGCTTTTATAATTTGGAGGTATGTTCCATCTATGCATATTTTGTTTAGAGTTATCATAAAAGAGTACTGAATTTTGTCAAATGCTTTTTCTACATCTGTTGAGATGACCATATGGTCTTTGTTTTTGCTTCTGTTTATGCAGTGAATCACATTTATGGATTTACATATGTTGAACCCTCCTTGCATACCTGAGATGAAGCCTACTTGGTCGTGAAGGATTATTTCTTTGATGTGCAGCTGAATTTGGTTTGTTAGAATTTTATTAAGAATTTTTGCATCGATATTCATAAGGGATATTTGTCTGTAGTTTTCCTTTTTTGTTGTGTCCTTTCCTGGCTTTCGTATTAAGGTGATACTGGCTTCACAGAATGAGTTGGAGAGGATTCCTTCTCAATGTTATAAAATAATTTCTGTAGTATGGGTACCAGTTCTTCTCTGTAGGTCTAGTAAAATTTTGCTGTGAAACCATCTGGTCCAGGACATTTTTTTGTTGTAAGACTTTTTATTGCTGCTTCAATTTCATTGTTTGATATTGGTCTGTTCAGGAGTTCTATTTCTTCCTGATTGAGGCTCGGGAGGTTGTGTTTCCAAGATTTTGTGCATTTCCTCAACATTTTCAAAGACCCAATGGCAATCACAGCAACAACAAAAATGAATAAATAGGACTTTTTAAATTAAAAGGCTTCTGCATAGCCAAGGAAACAATCAACAGAACAAACAGATAACCTACAGAATGGGAGAAAATATTTGCATATTGTATTGCATATCTGGTAAGAGGGATAATAACCAGAATCTACAAAGAACTCAAGCAAATCAGAAAGGAAAAAAATCAAACAACCCCATTAAAAAGTGGGCAAAATATATAATAGAAGCTTTTCATAAGAAGATAGACAAAT